TCAATTCAAGTTATCCGGATACATTGCTTTGGCGTTCTAAATGCCTGAATGCAGGTTGCTGTCATACGCAAAGACATTAACATGGGTAACACCTTCCGTGTCAGCCACCCAAGGTTCCAAGAAAAGCCAAATGACTCAGCTTACCCCACAATTATATGACGTGAGCCACGAGGTTCCCAGATCATTATTAGTCCTGGAAAACGTACTACCTGTCGCTAATCATGCCATGAACCATAGCATTTTGCTTGTAGTATTCTTGGGTAACACCTCCTATTAAAAAAAGTCGGTGCTCTGTAACTCAACATTACCTCAGGTCAAAAGAAAAATCCATGCCCAATGTGAGGCATTTCGATCGTGAAAACATCTGAAAATTTTACATGCACGAGCTGATACAATCCCAGTGCCCAATAACTACGGCTGGCTACCCGTGTACACAGCTATGCACGTTGCGTTGGTGCAAAATACAGATTAAACAGAGATCAAAATCAAACATCAATAGCAGCGTGACATAAAAACAAACACAAAAAGGGAAAAAACGAACAGCCTGCCGGGAAATTTTGTTGCTGCTGGAATAGAGTGTCTATATGGGTTACATTTAAAGTACTAGTAGTTGTAACATTAACTTTTCCGATATTCTTTCAGTTTAGTTTTTAGTTTGGTATTTGGGAATATACAGTATTTGAGATCACAATGTTTAGCAAACAAATTCTTAAGCAAATCGACAAATTGCGGACAAAAAGCATCCAAATATGCTTGGAAATTGACGCGTTCCATTCCCGACATACACTACGAATATTAACAAATAATTGCATATGGTATGTAGCTGGTATAATAATATACGAATACTCTTTGTATTGCTAAATAATAACATATTTTGACGAAAAGAGACACTCAGAATTTGTATAACCGCATAAAATGACTCGTTTTTGGTGGTTTCTGATAATTGTGTTGCCCTCGCTTGGTGCAGTTCATATTTGAGTAAATGCGTTGCAAATCAAGAAACGATAACTTAAAACTAGCTAACTAAAGTCATGAACATACAATAATATAATAATTAAAGGGCTTAGAATAAAAAGGGTACAAGTGCATTTTTAACATATTTTGAGATAAGTACGGCTCGGAAAAGACAAAGTGTATATTTATTAGAATAAAAAGGACATAAGTGATTTTTAATACATCTGGAGCCTAGTAGAAAAAGTAGATGAATGAAAAGGCAGTTTTCTTTGGAATAGAAAGGATGCAAATGCAATTGTACCCTCCCTGCTCCAACCGAAAGTTTATTTATTTATAATAGTGTAATGACTATTTCATCGATTTGCGAGCTGTTTTTCCCTAAATAAAAATGGAAAACGACGAAGGTAAGCCTCTTTGCTTATTATTTTATATTATAGTTATGATTAGTACCAAAATAGGTTAACAACAAGAATTTGTGATTGTTTATTGCTTATTAAATCTGCATAATGTTGTTATTTAGTTGTCATCAGTATCGTTTTTAATTATTTTGAATAGTGTCCCAGCAAGTTACAAATTATCGTTCCACTTTCAGATCCTTACTACACGGAAGAAGACGAACAATACGTTCCATCATCCACTTTGCAATCAGATGCAAACGAAGACAATCTTGACTTTGATACCGCTGAAGTAGTTTCAATAGATGAGGCGCTTCATATCACTCCAGACAAAACAAGCAAAAGGCTACGAGGTCCATCTGAATGGAAGATCAACCAAATAAAATGCTCTAAAACTGCAGGTGTATAAAAATAAGTCACTGCAACCCTATCAACATACATGTCGATACAAACACAATATAAATATTTGTGAAGAAAAAAGGCGAGAACTTTTCAAAACCTTCCTTGATTTACATTTTTTCATATGATCATCAGACTGTTTTTTATCATCATGTATGACAAAAATCAACGTAAATAGGAAAAAAATTGATAGCACCATCGAAAGAAAATTTAGCACAAATATATTTTTACTTGAAAAGCGCGTTTGCAAACATTTTTTTTCTAAAAACATTTAATATCTCAACTAAAAGATTTACGTCTGTATGTGCTAAAACAAATCACCTTGGTATAGCTGAGCGAGACCAAAGAGGGAAAGGACAAACTCACAGGAGGATGGGAAAGGAGCAACGAACTTTTGCAATAGGTCACATCAAAAGGTTTTCTAGATACACAAACCATTATTCTAGAAAACCAAATTAATACGTATCATCAGATTTAAGTATTGCGATTTTGTATGATTTATTCAAAACCATTTGCAAAGACGAGAACAAGATTCCTGTGAAGCTATCTTATTATACTATAGATATATTTTCAATAGCGAATTCAACTTTAACGTTCACACTCAGACACCTGTTCCAGCTGTGACTCCCATCAAAATACTCGTATTAGAAAGTATTCGAATGATGATTCTACAGTCTTGCACAGTAAGGTTCAGTTAGCTCTTCATCAGAAAGAAGCCGAAAATTCCATAAAAATGAAGAAAAGCTACATCGAGAAATACAGACTTCCAACAGATATAGTAGTGGTGGTGGATTTTCCTTTCACTACGAGCCCCTTCCCACTTCAGTTGGTCCACTTCAAGATTTGTACCAAAATATGCCTTTATAAACTAAACATGACGAAACTATTTATTTCTAAAACAATTTATTTTCTCAAAAACATTTTAGTTACACTCTAGTCGTAAAAAATACATATTTGAAATCACTTATACATATAACCAATAGAACATCTGAACAAATAGACAATGTGCGACTACATTTTTTTTTTTTTATACTCCAACTACCACGAAGGCCTATGGCCTAAGCACCCATTGGGTACCGTGGGGCTATGGGGGATACATGGGAAAGGGGGGACGCCACACGGACTCTGGCGAGGGAACACGTGTGCATGCAACATGCACACATTCTGGCTCCGCCTACGAGAACCGCCGGGTGGTACCTCCGCGTTCGACAGTCAGAGACCATCTACCACCTACGGACAATCACAACATCCATGGCCAAGAGAAACATTTCTCCTGGGACGGGACTCGAACCCGCACAGCGCACGGCGGCTGATCAGGAGACCGAAGAGTCTACTACTGCGGCCACCGCTGCTGCCTAAAACAAACACACAACATCCATGGCGAAGGCGAGATTCGAACTCGCGGCCCGGGCGGCCGGCTGATCAGTAGCACGACACTCTGACCCACGCGGCCAACCGAGGTCCCCCCTAAATGCGCGAAGTTAACAAAGCAACAATTGAAAGATTACCATTAGGTGACATTACCTTTATATTTTATCACGGCTGAAATTCTTTAGGGCATAGTATCAACCAAGTTTTGGAAAAAAATTGGTGCAAAACAATCCCATATTTCTTGAAGCTTTTGTCTCAGTTCGGTGATTGTACGAGCAGGATGTTGTCGCAGAACCTTTTTCATCTCGTGCCACAAAGTTTCAATAGGTGACAGATCTAAAAGCGATTCTTCTAAGGTTGCCAATTATTTGTTTGTATCCACATTTCCATCAATAAAATGAAGTTTTCCTACTCCTTTTGATGACATACTGCCCCAGACCATAATGGATGCTGGAAATTTCACTTTTCTCTTCAGACAGTCAACATGGAATGCTCTATTTTTTTTGCGAATAACTCTAATGCGACTGTCACCAACACAAACTTCGAATCGGGCCTCATCACTCCATTGTATTGCACATTATTGTTGAAGTGTCCATTGTCTATGTCTTTTAGCCCATCTAAGCCGATTTTTCTTTTGCAGTGGAGTTAACAGTGGCTTTTTTTTGGCCTATAAACAAGTTGTACAACTTTAGGGTTTTTGCTTCACTTTTTTTTTATAAGAAAACTTACCTTGCAAGTGCTAAATCCCAGTTTGTGGGCCACTCTATGAGTTGTGGACCTCGAAATTCTCCTTCCAACAGCATTACTCCACAGAGCACTTAATTGTAAATAATTGGCACGCCTGTTTTTCACGAATATTCTTCTTAATGCTCTTCGGTCAGCATTTGTAATATTACTTTTTTTCACATGTCGTGGCTGAATATTAACTAAACCAGTTACGTTATATCTTCTAACAATATTTCTCACACTGTACCGCGATAAGTCTAACAAAGTTGCAATTTCTGAGTTTGATTTTCCAGAATTAAAAAAATTAATTATCAGTAACCGAATTTTCTCACTAATAACCTTTCCTCTACCCATTTTGACAACCTTAACTACCCAAAACTATTTTAAACGTATTCTGACAGCTGTGATTAATAAAAACAATTGTCATGGCTTTTACTTTTCATAGCCACCTATGCGTTATAGACTTATTTTGCATTGAAATGAAAATAGGTTGATATGCTGTAATTGCAACATGTGTTATTTTTATGCTGCAAATTTGATCAGGGAGTGATAAAGTTGGTGTTTTCTACTATATATTATCAAAAGACTCATTGTTAATATTTTAAACTTATAACACCCTGCTACATTTTTATTATTTGTGTTTGATAAGAAAAAAAGTATGATTTCAATAGTTGGGCCAACTGAAGTGGCAAGGGGCTCGTACATGTACCATCCCTTATTTGGGTTAAGGTAGATCAGCCAGTAATTGTAAAAGGTATTTTGCACCGAATTAAATAAGAATTCTCTTAGCATCAGCACAGAAAAAAAATTGAAATTCCTCATGGAATACATGCCACCGCGGCTTTTATAAGGAATTAAAACATAGCAACAAAAAAAAATACAGCAAAGTATTAATAAACTAATATCAGAGATGCTGCATCTATATCAAAGCAGATTGCAGGTGATGCTTCTAAGAACACTGTGGATTCTGAAAGTGAGATGGCAATTGAAAATTTATCTTCGCAGTAGTCAGACAACACAGGTATGGAGCAGACGTGTGTGTAGGTGCTCCGAGAAATACAACAAAAACTGTGAGTTTTTACCACTGTCCGATTCAAATCTGTTAAAATCTAGCTGCAATTGACAGAATCGAATATAATTCTATAAAAGTGCAATATGCCTACAAGACAAAGTCAGGCAGATTTTGAGCAGACTTTAATAGATACACTAAAAAGGAAGAATGTTGCAGAAACTATTACCAATATCATTCTTGAAACAGTTACCTCTGCATTGAACGATAAATTTAAATATTACGATGAAAAAATTGCACAGTTAGAAGCAGAAATAGTAAATTTAAAAACAAATTTCAATGAATCTACTGGTATGTCAAAAGAAGGTGGCCAAAAAACTATGGAGCAAAAACTAGACAATATTCAACAACATATGAAGAGTAATAATTTGAGGCTGATACAAATTCCAGAGGCGGAAGGAGAAATTCTTACTGACAAGCTTTACGATATTTTCACCAATAAAATGAATGTGAATATTAACAAATCGGAGATAACTGCTGTCTATAGGGTTGGTCGCCGTAACGATACAAAACCTAGGCATGTTTTGGTATCGTTTACTGACAATTCGATTAAGATGGCAACGTATAATAAGTAAAAAGTTTCTTAAAGGCACTAAGATAGTTATTAAGGAAGATCTAACTCCGCATCGGTTGAAAGTAGTTAAAGCAGCTTCTGATAAGTTTGGTTTCAAGAACGTGTGGACGGTTAATGGCAACATTTTTGTAAAAACTGACAAGGGAGTGGAGAAGTTTAGTGTGAATGAATAGCTATGTTGTATTGGGGTATTTTTTTTTTCAACGTTTGGTATTCTTTGAACTTGTGTGTATTGTTAAGATTCATTACATATATTTTGTTTTTTGCTATTTTTTTTTTTAGCTCTGAATGTAGATATACAGTTGATTGTATTTAGCGATGGATTTTTTGATTGGACACCTCAATGTCTGTTCACTTGTTCCTAAATTTAATAGTTTGCGGCAACATATACTTTCTAAGAAATATGCTTTGTTTGCATTATCAGAAACGTGGTTGAATGAAAGTATAAGCGATGATACAGTATATATTCAAGGTTATGATCGTGTTAGGTTTGACAGAAGTACCAGGGGTGGAGGAGTAGGTTTGTATATAGATAGTAAGTTGAAATATTCACAAATTGAGGTTTCACATAATGTTGAACAACTTTGGGTCTCAGTTTCACTTAAAGGTAAATCATACGCAGATGGAGTAGTATATCGACCACCACATTTCAATTATAAATATTTTATTGATGAACTTGAAGAATCTTTATGTGTGGCTATGCTCCGTGAGGACAAAGTGATATGCCTAGGAGACGTAAATATAAATTTCCTCGACACTGAGGCTGCACCTACAAATTATATGCTTGAAATGTTAGATTCTACAGGTATAGAGCAAATAGTAGAAGAAGCTACACATATTACTAATACATCGGCGACATTAATAGATGTTATTCTTTGCAACGATCCTTTAATGATCGAATCTAAGCACGTTGGCGGATTAGATTTAACAGATCATGAACTGATTTCGTGTAAGGCACTACAAGATAGACAAAAAATTGAACCACTCTTTTACACTTATCGGAGCTTTAGGAGTCTTGAAATGGATAAATTGCATGCTGATTTGCAAAATCTTCCCTTAATTGACATATGTTACTTGTCAAATATTGACGAAAAGGTGAACCTGTTCAATCATTCAATTCTAACTTTGTTTGACAAGCACATTCCTTTGAAAACGTCCAAAATCACTAAGCCTAAAGCTCCCTGGCTGAAGGATGATATAAGGAATTTGATGCGTAGTAGGGATGCAGCGAGGTCTAAGTATAGAAAAAATCCGAACGATTCAAATTGGAATGCATATAAAAAACTAAAAACAAAACCAATCATGCTATTCTACATGAAAAAAGAAAGTATTTTGATAAAATTGCTCAGAGTAAGGATAAGAAATCTTTGTAGCGAGAACTTAATTCGCTTAGTATTAAGTCACAGAAGTCAAATATTCCTATTGATTTGCAAGATGTGGAACATATAAATAACTTTTTTATTGACAGCATACCTCGTGTGGCGTCTGGTAATCATATTGCTATATATTATGATCAAAACAAAATATGTAATTCAGAGTTCAATTTCAAATTGGTATCTGAGCAAGATGTATTTGACGCATTAAGTAGGATAAAAAACACCAGACCAGAAAATGATGGCATTAGCATACATCTCGTCAAATTGTGTGTCCCGTATATTTTACCATATTTGGTACATCTTATTAATACAATTTTTCTGGAGGGAAAATATCCAAAGTGCTGGAAAGTGGCCTTAATAGTGCCAATTCCAAAATGTAAGGAAGCTGAACAGCTATCAGATCTTCGTCCAATAAATATTCTAGCTGGTCTCTCGAAATTGGTTGAAAAAATTATTGAAATACAATTAAGAACACATATTGAAAGTCAAAGTATCCTTCCTAAAACACAGTCAGGTTTTCGTCCAGGATACTGTTGCACCACTGCACTTGCTAAAATAACTGATGATATCATTCAGTCGAATGATCTGGGTGAGTCTACCGCTTTAATACTATTAGATTTCAGCAAGGCATTTGACACAATTAACCATGATGTTTTGCTGTCTATCTTAAAGTCATGTCGATTGTCTACTGACAGCGTAAACCTTTTTAATTCATACTTAAGTGGCAGATCACAGTGTGTACAACTGAAGAATAAAATATCTAGTTCAAAGCCCACTACCACAGGTATACCGCAAGGATCTATACTTGGACCATTGCTCTTCACTATATATACCAGTCAGATCCTTAAATGTTTGGAATTCTGTAAGTCACACATTTATGCGGATGATACCCAGCTGTACTATTCTTTTCCTAGTTCAGATTGGCCAGCTGCCGAGTTGAAAATAAACAGTGACTTGACTAACCTCTCTAAAAGATTGCAAGAGCATTCATTAATATTAAATCCAAATAAATCAGCTGCTGTGATCTTTGGTAAAGACCGTTCTTATGTGATTGAGAATTTAAATATAACCATAAATAATATTAGATTAAAATACTGTGATAAAGTTAAAAACTTAGGCTTAACAATGGATTATAATCTGAGGTTTCGTGAGCACATATCCAACTGTATCAAAAAATCTTATCTTGCTCTAAAATTATTATATCCTCACCGAAATTTTCTAAATTTAGACATCAAAAGAATTCTTTGCGAAACCTTGGTTTTATCACAGTTTTCGTACTGTGTTCCAATTTATTCTGCATGTTTAGATTGTGATACATTCATGCGAATACAGAGAACACAGAACTCATGCATACGTTTTATATATGGCATAAGAAAATTTGAAAGAGTTAGTCATAAGCTGAAAGAACTCCGGTGGCTAAATATGAAGGCTCGTTTTCAGATATTCACAATATGCTTTTATCATAAAATTTTAACTCTCAGGCAGCCGCATTACCTCTACGAGAAAATAACATTCAGAAAAGACATCCATTCCGTAAATATTCGTTCGAAACAAAACATTACCGCTCCATTCCACAGAACTAAATTTTATGAAAGATCATTTACGTATAATATATATATAAGCTATACAATCCTATCCCCCAGTACCTCAAATCATATGAAATTCACAAGTTCAAAGCGGTTTTGCGTGATTCTTACCTTGAATGTATAAAGTAGAATTATTCTTACTGCGGAATTTCAATTTTATTTTGTTTGCATTCCATTATTTTATTTATATTTTTTTTTCATACGATGCATAAGTGTACGTATATGTATTTGTATATCATTCTAGACTTTTACATTTACCACCACGTTTTCTCTTTGCTCTTTTTTTCAAACTTAATTGTCGCTCATATTGGCGTTTGTTTATGCGGTATGTATGGGTATATATGTATATATGTATATATATGTATATATGTATGTATATATTATTCTAGACTTTCTTTTTTTTAAATCTACTACCACATGTCTCACTTTTCTATCTTATTTTTTTTTTTAAACTTACATGCTGTTCATATTGATGTTTTTATATGGTTGATGGATGTATTTACTGGCATAATGTTTCTTACAATTCCAAGGGATGAGTGGAAGAGCACTAGATAGTGAACTCCCCCTTGTAGTTTTCAGACAGTCGACATTTGTTTTATTTATTTTTTTTTTATATTTTCCTTTTTTTTTGGTTAATACTCATGTTTCTCTTTCTGATTTTTTTTTTGAAAACTGTTTGGAGGCATTTATTATTATTATTATTATTATATGGCTTCACTTGACTCTAGTACTTAGTTTAATGTTTGTAACAATATTTAATCTGAATAAAAATGTTATTTTAAATGTTTTGTTTTTAATTTTAATCAAATTGGACTAATGTTTGGGAGAAAAAGGATATAAGTGCTTCTTTTTGCAAAAAAAAATTAAATTATTTTCCAAAAGTCAAGTTTCAACTAAAATTTCATTTTTTCCTTCCAATAAAAGCAATCAAATATGTGAGTCAAACATTTCCTGGATTTTTTTAAAGTCAAACATCTTTAAGCTCGATTACCTCAAAACAGTGTTTATGTTACTTATACCTTTTTTATTCTAACCCCTTCAATTAATGTATCTAATTTTTTTTTGGAGTCACTTGTCTGGCTGTTTTCATTTCAATTGTTTTTCTTCTACCTTTCTTATTATTTTTCTGTCTACTTTATCTTTTGTTATTTATCTACAATAAAAAAATATTATAAACAATGAAAACAAGGGCTGCGGCTATCAATCTACAGGGTGTCCGCAAAGTTGGGGTTTTCCTTTTCAGAAACAACTACCCTTGAAATAACAAAGGTAATGTGTAGTGAAACGAGGGCGACCAAGTAAAAAAAAATAAAGGAAAAAGTACTCACTCTCCAGTTGACGAGAAGGGCTAAGTACGTCTCTGCCCGAAATCATACCGCTCCAACAGAAAATGAAATCAGCTGATGCGCTACCGAGCAGACGCAGGCAAACAAGGAAGGCAAAATGTTGCGTAAAAAGTCTAGGTATTGCATCCCGTCCAATCGATTTGGGAGAATAAATGGTCCAATGAGCATACCGTTCACCATGCCAGCCCAAACATTCACCGAAAATGTTTGTTGAAAATGTGCCCGACGGACAGCGTGCGGATTTTCTACTGACCAAACATGAGTGTTGCGAAAGTTATTCACCCCATTACGCGTGAACGTAGATTCGTCTGTCACCAATATGCACTTCAAAAAGTCCGGATTCTTGTCATGTTGATGCAACAACCACTCACAAATCCGCACTCTTGCTGGAAAATCGTCAGGTTAAAGGGCTTGTACACGTTGGACGTGAAACGGATAGAGCCTCTCTTCACGCAGCGTTTGCCACACTTTAGTTTTTGATACTTGCACTTCTCTAGCCACGTCTCTAGTGCTTGTTGAGGGATTCTCGTCTACGCGATTACCGTAACCGTCGGTTGAAGGTTGCATACTGACCTGACACACTGACCCCGACCCAGTTCTGTCGTCGGGTTGAGCTAGTGTCCTAGTACCACTCGGGGATGTCGCGGCTACAGGACGGTATTCAGATATTTTTGATGTTGCAGAGCCCTTTATCTCGGTTCCCTTAAGACATTGGTGTATATGGTACTAAGAAAAATTGCTTATGTTTTAAAGATCTACACGTCGTGTAAAGGAAAACCCCAACTTTGCGGACACCCTGTATATGTTTCCCTTGTTTGTTTGATACTTATTATTTTTAACGAAGAACTATTGAATTTATTTATTTTCCATAGATCATAGTCACCCCCTGGCGACACATTTTCCCTTGATACTTATAAAAGCTGTCAAAATTGGAATATCATCCGACCCTGTCAAATGTGTTTCACATATTTTGTTCAACTATGGTGAAGAATTTCTTCGGATCACAACTACAGGGTGGGCCATAAGAGTGTTGGTGATTTAAATCTTAAACTTTTCGGAAACGCGAGACGAGTGTGGTGGGGGGGGATAAGCTGTTAGCCGCGCACCGTTGCCTGGAAATTTAGTCGCCATCGATACCAATCGACATGAACACGGTTTTCGCGATTTCAGAGAAGTTCCAAGCGCCAATGTGAACGGAAATAGATCAGAGTGTTCGAAACAACCGGCTCGACAGACGAATTTTGAAGCGTGATTTGCATTTGAAGGCTTATAAGATCCAACTAGTCCTAGAATTAAAACCAGATGATGCCAATAACCGACTTAACTTTGTCAATTTGGTGCTCGACCTATTCAACAGTTTTAACAACATGATGTTTATTTATTTGCGGTTAGTACACTGCTCGAACAGATGATTCCATTTAACGAACAGGAAATATACAAAATACAAAAAAAAATCCATAAATAACGTATCAAGTACATTACACATATTACATCTAAATAAGTTCTTAACCTACAGTCGAAAACGACCTTTTTAAAAGTGATATAGTGCAATGAAAAATGTCTACTAAATTATTTACTTTTTCATAGTTGTTACACATTACATATAATGGCGAAAAAAGTAACACATTGGTACGAGGCACAGGTAAATAGAAATTAGTATTGTTAAACCTTATGTTTCGGTACGGTACGTGTAATGACAGCTTTTCTAAGAGAAACTGGCAATCAACTGTGTTGTTCAAAATTTTATATAAGAAAACCACAGCGCAGTAATTTCTGCGCTTAGATAAATTTACCATATTAAATCTACTGAGTAATAAGTCATTGCGAAATCCAGCCTCACGATAAATCCCATCTTCCTTGAACCATAAATATTTAGCAAAACGTCGCTGGATCTTTTCAATGCTGTCCGAATGTACATCATATGCAGGGTACCAAATTATACTATAGTATTCGAGCTTGCATCTAACAAACGCATTGAATAACAATAAAAGAGTTTTAGCATTATTGAAGCTCTTGCCACACATAAGTATGAAACCCATCGT